TGATGATGAAGGACGCTGAGCATCGTTTCATGTGTCTGTTGGCCATCTGGATGTCTTCTTTGGAGCAGTGTCTGTTCATATCTTATACCTATTTCTTCACTGGATTATTTGTTTTTCGGGTGTGGAGTTTGGTGAGTTCCTTATAGATTTTGGATACTAGCCCTTTATCTGATATGTCATTTGCAACTATCTTTTCCCATTCCGTCGGTTGTCTATTAGTTTTGTATTAGACTCTCCAATCTTGACAACATGACTTGATATTGTGATGCCATGTGAAAAAGGCTTGTCTGTTTTTGGGAAATGTGCTTAAATTGCCATGCACTATTCTAAGCACAGAACTTACTATTTAGGAAGATGCTAGGTCTGCCATTCTAAACCGAGGGTTTTCAGTGTCTTTTTTTTTAATCCACCAGTGTTCTTAACATCTAAATATTTCAATTTTTTCTGCTTTGAATTATGTAGTTATCCTTTAATTCATGTGATGGAATATACAGATTTTGATATCAAATAAATGTGTAAATGATCCTGAAAAAGACACTTAGAAATGTAGAAAATGGAAAAGTTTATAAAAGGAAATAAATTTTAAGGAAAAGATAGCTTAATGGTATCAATTCAAATAAAAGGAGTTATACGTAATACATTAAATTATAAGCAACTAATTCAGATTCATACACTAGTGTTGAACTATAAAAAATTGGGAACATCACCTTCTTATGGACTTAAGTTTTCTAATCTGTAATTAAGAAAGACAGTATTTGTACTTGTTTTACCTGATCCGTAGTGTTGGAAGACACATAAACCCTGAGATCCTAGAAAAATGTGGTGTGCATACAGAAGGCGATTCTAGTATCTAGTGTTGTCAGAGGGAGAAGTATATGTGAGCATGCATCAGTGTGAAAAAACTTACTCTTAAAATGCTTGGGGGATGCCTGGGTTGGCTAATTCTGTTAAGCATCCAGCTTCACTCAGGTCATAAAATCGCAGTTCGTGGGTTTGAGCCCTGCATTGGGCTCTGTGTTGACAGCTCAGAGCCTGGAGCCTGCTTAAGATTCTGTGTCTCTCTCCTTCTCTGCCCCTCCCCAGCTTGCCCTCTCTCTCTGTCTCTGTCTGTCTCAAATAAACATTTAAAAAAATTAAAGGGGCACCTGGGTGGTTCAGTCTGTTAAGCATCCAGCTTCACTAAGGTCATGATCTTGCAGTTTGTGGGTTCAAGCCTCGCATCGGGTTCTGTGCTGACAGCTCAGAGCCTGGAGCCTGCTTTGGATCCTGTGTCTCGCTCTCTCTCTGCCCGTCCCCACTTACACTCTGTCTCTCTCCCTCTCAAAAACAAATATTAAAAAAATTTTTTGTGGGTGGGGGGGCACCTGGGTGGCTAAATCAGTTAAGCATCCAACTTCAGCTCAGGTCATGATCTCACAGTTTGTGAGTTCAAGCCCCACATCAGGCTCTGCACTGAAAGCTCAGAGCCTGGAGCCTACTTCCAATTCTGTGTCTCCTTGTCTCTACCCCTGCTCTTTCTGTCTCTCAAAAATAAATAAATACCTTAAAAAGAATTTTTTATGGGGCGCCTGGGTGGCTTAGTCGGTTAAGTGTCCGACTTTCAGTTGGGTCATGATCTCGCGGTTCGTGGGTTCGAGCCCCGCGTCGGGCTCTGTGCTGACTGCCAGCTCAGAGCCTGGAGCCTGTTTCAGTCTGTGACTCCCTCTCTCTCTGACCCTCCCCTGCTCACGCTGTCTCTCTCTCTCTCCTAGAAATAAATAAAAACATTTAAAAAAAATTTTTTTTAAATTTTTTTTAAATTAAAAAAAAAAAAGTTGAAATGCTTGGAAAATAAGTTTGCAGTCTGAGCTAGGGCCCCGGTAACTCCATGAGATTCATGATATCCAGGCCTATTGTTCCTGTTTCACGTGGGTGAAGGCCCGCTGAGAGACAGACTCATTCAGTCTTTCTGCAGGTCAGTCAAGTTGGCACAGAATGGGAACAGGTCTAGTTGGTATATGTCCGATGCACAGAGGGAGAAGTCTGCATGTTAGGAAAAAACCAGAGAAGCCAAGAAACTCACAGGTGAGGGAGAGCTCTAAAGAATGGGTTTGCAGGGCCCCTTGTTCTCCTGCCTGTGACTGGAAGGAGAGGCCCCAGTGGAAGAGATTCCGCTGCATCTTAGAGGCACGCATGTATATGCCCTGTGGGCTTGGGGCTGATATATTCAGGAAAATGCTGTGAGGTTTGTCATAGGCCTTATGTTTAATTCTGTATTCCTTTTCATTAGCATTCAGTAATGAATGTTGAACTATCAGCTTTGGATCCAGGTGCTGGGGGGATAAGCATACCTTTCCCTCAGGGACTTTCAACTCATTATTGAGATAATATACAGCTTTATCAGAAAAAGGATAATAACCAACATTCGTATTATACTTTAAAATAGATCTTGATATGTTATGCCCTTTTAAAAATTATGTGTGTACTTTGTTTAATTTATTAAAAATAAATCTATATTTATGTCTGTATTATATAGAAAAAAAGACCAAAAGTGGGCTGTACATGAGATGTTAATAGTGATAAAAATACACATTATTTTTCATTACTTTCTGTATTTTCTGAATCATCCTCAATGGACATGCATTGTTTATGTAATCATATGATAACCACATATTAAACTTTTGAAGCTTCTAAAATATTCTTATACATGCTGTCTCATTTGATCCTCACAAGCACTCTGGGAGGGAGGTCAGTAATAAATATCAAGGTTACAGATGAGAGAAAATGGAGACGGATGAGCATACAACTCAGGCACCAGGATGTTACATGCAGTGAGGTTACATGGTGTATACAGCACTGAACAGGTAGCCAAAGGCAAAAGCAGGTAAAAGGAAGGTGAATTAGTAGTGCTTTAATGAAAGGAGAATGGTGTAGGGCGTAGAATACCTTTTTGCTTTTATCTGGCTCTCTAAACAGAGGCCTGGTTTGGATGTTTTATTAGACTCAGAGGCAAGGTGCACAATAGTCACATTTGGGTCTGAGACCAGAGAGTCTGAGTTTGATTTCCTACTCTGGGACTGCCTAGCTATTTAACCTGGGCAGTTATTTACAGACTCAGGGCCTCACTGTACCTACGTATAAAATGAAGCAAATACTACTAGCTACTGTAGGACAAAATTAATTCATATGTGAGAGGCTTTAGAAGTGTATTGGGATGGGGGTGCCTGAGTGGCTCAATCAGTGAAGCATCCGACTCTTGATTTCAGCTCAGTTCATGACCTCGTGGTTCATGGGGTTGAGCCCTGCATTGGGCCCTGTGCTGACAGTGTGGAGCCTGCTTAGGATTCTCTCTCCCCCTCTTTCTGCCCCTCCCCCACTCATGCTCTGTCTCTCTGTTTCTCTCAAAGTTAACATTAAAAAAAATAAAAACTCTTTTAAAAAAGTATGTGGGCACAGTCTCGAGCTAAATAACTTTTTAATTAGTTAAATAAATAACAGACCACAGAGGAAAACCTCTAAAAAAAAAGTGTATGGATGTAGGGATAACTGAGCAAATATTAGCTGCTATCATCACTGTCGTCGTCGTCATCTTCTTCTTCTTCTTCTTCATCATCACCATCATTGTCATCATCATCATCATCATCCATGCAGAGTTGACGAGGATAATGGTAGGGTGACAGGGAATCTATGGCTTTCAGGAAGACAAGTATATCATCCTAGTGTAGACTAGCTACACTGGGACAAGTAAGGAAGAGGTTAGGTCAGTACAAATATATCTAACATTTTTAATGTTATAGAATCTGGGACAAGTAAGGAAAGAGGTTAGGTCAGTACAAATATATCTAACATTAATCTTTCAATGACAGTATTATCATTTTGAGATGCATAAACATGGATTCGGTTAAGGATAGATTGTGTTTCTTAAGAAACATACAGATGCATATTAAGTATATGTAGATGTATGCCGCAAAATGCTGATGGCTATAGGTTAAGAATACAAAAGAATTATAAAGTTAATACAGAAAGAGGAGAAAGATTGTGCTGGTATCATTGGATTGTTCGACAGCCTGTGTAAATCTATTCCAGTCTCTCCCTGCTTACTGTAAACGTTTGGAATCTGTGTGTACACTTAGATGTTCTGTTTGATTTTACAGTGTTGTAAACCAAGTGATTGTGCCAAATTAAGAATGATTGTTTTGTCTTTAAAAGACCTTGACCATGAATTGGGAGGTGGAGTGTGCTGTGAGGCTTAATCCCCTTAGGCCTGGAATTAGTCTGGGCTGTTCTACTGAAATAAGTATACCTGCCTGTTACTTAACCACGGGTCATCAAAGCATGAAATGATTGATTGATCATGTTGCTTTGTAACATTGGGTTGGAGGAGTTTCAGGGCAGTTTGCACCAACTGTCAGCATTGTTTATTGATAAGAGTGAGATTGATGATTTGCATCTGGTCCAAGGGAGGCTTCTAAAGGGCTCTGCTCTGGAGGCTGGTTGTATAGTAGGAAGATGTCTACGTAACCAAAATACAAAGAGCACCAGTGGGGATTTCATCCCAGAAGTAACCTGAAATACTACCAGTTGAGTTTAGAAGATTACCCAGAGAGAACGTATAATGAAATATTAACTGCTTTAATATCCTAATTCTAGGGGCACTTGGGTAGCTCATTCGGTTTAACATCTGACTCTTGATTTTGGCTTAGGCCATGAACTCATGGTTGCAATTCCCTCTCCTCTCTCTGCCCTTCCTCCCCCCGCCCCCCGCCTGTGCGCACTTTCGTGCTCTCATTTTCTCTCAAAATAAATAAACATTAAAAAAATTTTTAAAAAGAGAAAAAAATTTAATTCATTTATTTAAAAAAAAAGTCCTAATTCTAGTTAAGTCCTTCAGTTCTCATACAGATAGGTTATTCAAATCCCAAAATATTGGGGGCAAGAATCTGTCATAAACAGCTCTTATCTTACTTCATTTCCAAAACATGTAAAATGTGTTTGTCCTTTTTTTTTTTTTTTTTTTTCAGAGCCCCTGGTTGTGGAATACAAGGCACTGTTGGTACAACTATCCCTATCAGGTAAGGAGACATTGCCATCTGGGTCTTCACACATGGAGAGTACTACCTTAGGTCAGGTTCATGGTTATAGGCCCCAGCAGACTGGGCATCCACCTTACTTTTTAGCCTCTTGCCCTTGCTTCTGCTGCTTGTGCTGGACTTCGCCTAGTTAAGGGAAGCAGTTTGTGTTCTCAGTGAAGTTAGAGTCAAAGCCCAATTGCTTTAGCAAGTGGAATAAGCTGGAAGGTGCATTTGCTGGAGAGTAAGATACAATCGATTCAATAGTTGGGACGATTCTTGCTTCTAACAGCCGATCTGCTTCTAATTACTGTGGTGGGCCTGAAGACCTGACACCAGCAAGGGTCTGTCTAGACAGCAAGTGGGCAAAGTGTCGGGCTGCCGCAGACAAGCAGAGTTCAGGCCACTTTGCAGCCTTATTAAGAGCAGCCTCTAAACATGTAAATCAAACACAATTTCCTTGAGCATAGAAAAATGGGCTTGTATCATTACCCTAAACATAAAGCCATCGTCAAAACAGATTAAAATTATACCCCTGAAAGGGAGCATTTCAGATCCCTGATCCCTGCATACCTTTGCCTCTGTCCATGAATTCAATAAGATTAGCATGTGTTGTGGTCCTCAGATCAGTTACTATTTGAATAGCATAGCTGGGTCTTTTCTAATTTAATTGGAGTATGTTATATAAGAGAATCCAATACAACTAGATATTTTGATATAAAGAGACATACATTCTAATAAGCAACTTGGATTTTTGACTTTGTGGTTCTTTGGGTTGTCTTTTTAGAGGCATTTGGTCTTTTTGGTGTGCATAAAGTTAATGGGCAGCAAGCATGCTCTGCAGTCTTCTTTGTTACACTCAATGTTGCAGCAGGGGCAAGGGAAAGGTGGTGGAAACTTCTAGTTCATGGCTAGGAGGACACTGAAATGGAATTCCAGCTTGCATTTCCGTCTCTTTCATGTAGTGCATTCATATTAGAAAAGCATGTAAGCAAGCAATATGACATGGTTAGAGAAAGCTGAGCATTCCAGAGTTTTCTGATGGAGACTGAAGCAACATCGAAACTTATTGTACACAATTGTAATTATCAGGCTCAGTTGCTGTTTTACTATCTTAAGTACTTGGGATATTGTCATTAGACCTCTCTTTGGGTCCTGTAATTGTATACTGAGTGGAAAAATCCATGTATATCTAGAATTCTATTTATAAAAAGCATATCAAAGCCTTCTAGAAACCTTAATTTGAATGTTGATGTGGCAGCTGTATTTATGAAGTAAATTCTGTCATATGAGCAACATTGGGACAAATGTCACATGAAATGTAATACCCACTCCTCTTTATAACGTAGTCTGAAATAGCTTCACATTTATGGCTGGAGCTAAGGAATTGCTTTTTTCTGAGATAATTAGTTGTTGGGGCAGTGGTCCAAAATGTAGCTGCAGGCTGTTTCACAGACAAAACTATAGATTTAACATGAAAATTTGAGGGTCTGGCAGATAGATATGTTTAAAAATAAGAAACTTTGAGGTGCCTGCCTAGCTCAGTAGGTAGAGCACGTGACTCTTAATCTCAGGGTTATAAGTTTGAGTCCCACATTGGGGATAGAGATTTTAAAATAAAATAAACCCTTAAAAAAATAATAAAATAAAAAGTAAAAATAAGAAACATCATTAGTATAGAAGGAAAAATACTGTGTATACGGAGATTCAGATCAAGGTTGTCTGCTGATAAGGCATCATTGCTTACAAATGAATAATTTGGTAATAGCCCCCAAAATCTAGGAATAGTTCATGATCTCTTGAAGGAATAGTGGTCATCTTTGATAAGCTCCATATTCTAATAAAAAGTCAACTACTTTTCTTTTTGTATGTGTGGGGGAAAAATTAAACAGCATGTAATTATTATGCATGTAATTAAAGCGCATTATGGGTAGCTATGCTTCATAAATCCAGAGATTACAGTTCAGAGTCAGTCTCAAGCCTTAAGAGCACTTTTTTAAAGATATATTGTGTTCCTGAAGCATATTTATTATGTCTTTAGCATATATGTTAAGTAAATAATTGAACAGATTTTTAGATGAAAGAGTAGTGGTCTGTTGCACACTGCTCCTTGTGTATGAGTATATATGTAACTTATTACATATATGATGTAATGCATATATTTTAAGTTTAAAATAATGGAAAGTGATCTTTAGTTGGGCCTGGGTAGTTGGCTGTAAAGAGCACAAGTTGGGAGTGAGAAGCTCTAGAATGGCAGACACGGGGCTTCACTAGCAGTAAGACCTATGATTAGCCTTTCAACCTGAACTAACTAAACTAGCAATTTCCTATCAGCTATACTATCTAGAAAATGCTGGTGCTAATTTTATAGGATTTTTATGAGAGTCAGAGAAATTAACATGTGGGTAAGCTTTGTCAATTGCAGTGCACTCCGTGAATATGGTAGTTTTGTATTATGATGCTCTCTTAGGAACTCTGTGGTTTCTAGATGTGCTCTCACTTGCCTTCCTAGCCCACCATGACTTTTCCCAGATGGTGGTACAGGGAAGCTCATTAAAAGTAAAATTTAACCTTGGTTCCCAGGGTCCTGAAGCCAGTGCCCTATTTTCTAGACTTCATTCTGCCATATGTCTGACCTGAATACCCATCCCTTACTGCTAATGCCTGCAAATTTTAAAAGGACAATTCAGTGGGAAATGTATTCTCTCCAGTGTGATGCTGAGCTTGATAAACACACTGATGGCTGATTGTTACTCAGAGCTTGGGATTGCTGGTGGGATAGTATCCTGTCCCCTGATGTGTTTTGTTGCCAAAGATCAGTGGGAGAGACAACTGTTTTTTGTTTTTTGTTTTTTGTTTTTTGTTTTTTGATGTCAGTGCCTAAAGCTGGTAGAATTGGTAGTTAAGGGAATGCCACCTTCTCTTGAAAGTCCTTTGTTATGCTGCTATTGGTTCACAGAGCATTAAAGTTTCCATTGTAGTTGCCATATATACTGCTACAATGTGGACAGCATGGATAGACTGCATTTCAGAGGTCTTTTGTTTGTTCTGGTAAAGTAAGACATTTCATTATAGCTCAGTAAACAAAATAGATATTCCTGACTTCTGCTGCCTCTCTGAGCCTCCCCCGGTCCTGGGCCTCTGAAATGAGGTATCACTCCCATTTTAAAATAGGTAAACTAAAGTCCAAGCTTTATACCTACTGAGTTGTGGAGCTGAGACTTGATCTCAGATTTCCTGGCTGAGGGCCTAGCCTGGTGTTTCTTTGGCAGCTTACTTGTCCTTCTGTCTTTTAATAAATATTTTTGAGTCATCTTTTTTGATATTTGCAATGTACAGAACATTCCTTAAAAACAAAAAAGCTCTTAATTATTACAGAACTTGAAACTCTGCTTTTGTGACCCATCTAGCACCCTAGTTTCTATCACCTACCTCCCTTGCCTGTTTACTATGGAATCTCATAGGTCTTTCCAGGGTTATTCTTTATGTGTATGTATTAAAAGGCTTTTTTTCCAGGTTGCCTAAGGAATCTCACAGGTACTTCTAGCAAGGAACCATAAATGCTATTGGTAAAGTGAATAGTGAACTGGGTACCAAATGTTCATACTCATTGACGCTTTTTTGGTTGGAGATCAAACAGAACTTAAGGCCGTCAAGCTGTGTATTAGAGGCATGCTTCAAAGCCCTCTGATCCACAGAGAGAATGGGGCTATAATTTGTGGAAGCATAAGACCATGTCACCATGTCACTTTCCAGCACTGAACTTGAGTTGTTTGGGACACAAATTGGTTTCCTATTAACTATTAATCTTTCTTTTTTTAATTTTAATCCCCAGCCACTTACAACCGATCTTCACTACTATTATATCCTGGAGCTGTCATATTATTGGTCTTTAATGTTTTCACAATTCACTGACATCAAAAGAAAGGTAAGAGTGGTAATATTGTAAAGTGCTTGCAGATCTTTGTCCTCAGTGGCCTTTGGCAGATGGGCAGATGTCTCAAAGACACTCACTTCTATTATCTGGAAGCATTAGCACTGCATTCTTCCAGAAAGTTTCATATTTCCATTTGTGGTGTTTTGTATTTTATGTGCATTGTCTCTTTCCTCTTTCCTCCAAATCTAGTGTTCTTTTCTCTGTAAAAAAATATATCAGTGAATCCTGACAGCAGTAATTTTTTTTGTCAATCTGATTCACAAGGCCCTCGATTCTTCAAATTAAATAAAGAAGAAAAATTGTATTTGTAACCCCTGGGAAAGAGTAAATTCTCAGTGCTCCAGCCACACAAATGAATTTTTCCTGAATCAGACTTACCTAACATCAGAATACATCATGAAAATACAACATTCCTAAATGAACTATGATTAGCCTCCACCTCTCCCTTCCACCAGAGTAGCTTTTGCTGAGGGTGCTCTTGACCTTTTAAGTGTTAAACCCACCCATTCCAACTCTCAACCTACCTACCTTCCTACTGGTAGGAAGAATAGGCACTTCTGGCTGTTTACTGCTTATAATTTTCCCATCATAACGTTTTCTCCAGATTCCCATATTTGGATCATTCCTTCAAAGTCGTCTTTGCTGGCATCCAGCCCAGGGCCTCATGTGCCACATATTTCTGAGCACCAGGGTCTAGTCCTGGATTATAGGACATCATTTTCCGGTATGATCAAGCTTATAACCTTCAGCACTACCAGCCATAACTAATGTACCAGTAACTCCCAGATGTCTCTCTTCAGCCCTGGGTTCTCTCCACCTCCATACTTCCACAAATCTAGGCATAAATAATAGTATTGTGTCCTTTTTGTTTTTTATTTAATCTTCCCATCAACTCCAAGATCCAGTTGGATCACTTGTTATTTATCCTCATTTTATAAATGAGGAGGCTGAACTTTACATGCAATGTATTTCCAGCTGTTGATATGATCATCCCCTAGCTTTGTCCTTCCAGTAATGCTTTTAACCGACAGTTCTATAAGCTAACGGTTTTCCTTGGCTCTCCTCTTTGCTTTGCCTCATACCTGAACCCTTAACGTCACTGACATGTTTAGTTTGAGTTGTCTCTACTTTTGCTTAATCTATTGCAATAGCCTTTTAAATGGTCCTCCTTTCTAAATAGTCATTCTTGTCTACCTGCCACATAAGAGTTATCTTTCTAGGGGCGCCTGGGTGGCTCAGTCGGTTAAGCGTCCGACTGCAGCTTAGGTCATGATCTCATGGTTCGTGGGTTGGAGCCCCACGTCAGGGTCTGTGCTGACAGCTCAGAGCCTGGAGCTTGTCTTCGGATTCTGTGTCTCCCTCTCTCTCTTACCCCTCCCCTGTTCACGCTGCCCCTCTCTCTCTCTCTCTCTCTCTCTCTCAGAAATAAACAAAACATTAAAAAAAAAAAAGAGTAATCTTCCTAAAGCCATCAAGACAAAGTTAGACTACTTGGAGTAATATGCAGGATTATCAACATGATTCAAAAACACCTCTCCAGTGTCATTACCCATCCCTTTTCTCCCCCTTCTGAAACACACATATGTCCTAGCATTATGTCTTTTCATCATTGTTCAGACATAATTTTTTTCATGCACCTTTTTTTCTTAAGACCTTGCCTTGGCTCAAATATACCCTATTTCCCTCCTCCCAAACCTGACCTAGTCCAAAAATAATATCTTCTTTGAAGGCCAATTCAATTCCCCCAAGGTTTTTTTTTTAATGTTTTTCATTTATTTCTGAGAGAGAGAGACCGCATGAGCAGAGGAGGGTCAGAGAAAGAGGGAGACACAGAATCTGAAACAGACTCCAGGCTCTGAGCTAGCTATCAGCACAGAGCCTGACACGGGGCTCGAACCCATGAACCATGAGATCATGACCTGAGCCAAAGTCGGCTGCCCAACGAACTGAGCCACCTAGGCGCCCCCCGCCAAGGTTTTTGATCATTCTTTCCTCTGTGTTTAGTTGCCCAATGTGTAAGCACTGAATGTTTTTTAACTGTATAGTGGTCTGCCTTCCCTAGACTTGGAGAGCAGAAGAGCAAGATATGTTCATCTTTTTATCAGAGCTGTCAATGCCCCTGCTTGGGATGGGGATCAGTAAGTTTAAAGTGAATGAATAAATGGACTCATCAGAATGTCTTCTGATTTACTAATGGATATCTTCCAAGCTTTTTGGCAGACAGAACTTTGCACATTGTCAAGGAGCACAATACTTATAATACTGTAAATTCCTTGGTTAGATCAGTAATCTGCTAAATTGCAAAGTGGTATCCAGGTGGCTACAGAGGAACATTTAAGGGTCTTTGGCTCTAGTACATGCATCCCCTTTCCCCAGGTGCATGCTTTTACTGTCCTACAGCAGAGGTGTTCTTGCTAGCAAGAAGCTGCTTTTCCTTACCTGTATCACTGCACAGCCTTAATGGGATGTATGTGTTTGATTCTCACAAGAAGTAGATGGTCCCTGTAAGGACTACGGCTGCTGGCAAAGCAGAGAACTCATTAGCAACCAAAATTTATGGGTCCTTACTCATTGCACCACTCTGGTCAGTTTCTGGAACTATTTAAAGGTCCTTCAGTGATGGTGTGCCAGTTAGATTACATTTTGTCTGCTTTACACGAGGTGTCTTCTTCATTCATGTACTTAGTACCTGAAAACTGATTATCTATGTGCTAGGCACTGTGTTAGTCTTATTGTGCATTTTACGTATTTATTTTTTAAGCCTTTAATTGTGATAAAAATACAAAACATAAAAATTTACCATCTTAACCATTTTAAGTATACAGCTCAGCAGTATTATACACATTCACATTGTTGTGCAGCCAGTTTCCAGAACTCTTTTCATCTTGCATAACTGCAGCTCTGTACCCATGGAGACAGTAATTCCTCATTGTCCCTCCCCCAGCCCCTGGCAACCACCATTGTACTCTCTCAATGAATTTAACTACTCCAGGTGCCTCATAGAAGCAGAATTGTACTGTATTTGTCATTTTGTGACTGACTTTCTTCACTTACCATAATGCCCTCAGGATTATCAGTGTTGTAGCATGTGTCAGGATTTCCTTTCTTTTTAAGGCTAAATCATGTGCATTTTATTTTCTTTTGAAGAGCATTTTTGTCTCAGATAATTACAGAAAAAAACTAGTATATAAAAAAATGAGGCTTGAATATTTTCCCATTTTGTAGCTGGGCAAATCAATATACAGTGAGTTGATGTAAATTTTTCAAGGTTGTGCTGTCTGGGAATGAATAAGAGCCCAAGTTTACCCAGCAGAGTTCTGTGATTAACTCTTAAGTTAAATGTGTATGCAATTCTTATATTACCTTGCCTTGCTATGCTCCTGACATTAGAGGTAGTAACCTTTTTGCAGCTCTTTGCCATTTTATTGTGTTCCCTTTGCTTAGTGAGAATTAAGTGTGCCATATAGAGTTTAAGATATTAACAAAATCAAGATTGTAACTGTACTTGGCTCCCAGGAGCTAAGCCATTGCTAGCGAGATATTGCTGTACCAAGTCACCAAACCTCTTCCATTTGCTTCAGTTTTCTCAACATGCATTTAATGTGTATTTTCAGTGAGTTAAGAGGACTCATAGGGTCTTCATTGTTTTAAGCCAAATGACAATTATCTAATAGTTATCATAAGTGGTTGATTTTCAGTGGTTGAAGTGTATCATTTTATATGGTATTAATATACTTTGTATCAGTGTAGAAACCACCTATGTATAAAAAGGGTAATTTTTCGATGAAGTTCATTGAATTGATCTCAAGCTTATACATGTTGCCAGTGTTTAGCAGTTAAGTATACGTTTTTCTTAGTCAACACCAATAGCTTGTTTTAGGCATCTGGCACCTGTCCCTTCTTTAGCTGGTCAGAGTACCTTTGTACATTCCTGGTGCAGTTGGTTTATTCTTCTTTCTTGCACAAAATGGGAATTTAGCCACTGCCAGACCTGTGTATTACTCAGCACAGATTTTAATGAGGAAGGCCTTTCTCTCTCTTTCTCTTTCTTTCTTTCTTTTCTTTCCTTTCTTTCTTTCTCTTTCATATAATTTGTGAAATTGTCTTACATACAACACCCAGTGCTCATCTCAACAACTGCCCTCCTCAATGCCCATTACCCATTTTCCCCTCTTCCCCACACCCCCCAACCACCCTCACTTTGTTCTCTGTATTTAAGAGTCTCTTGTGGTTTGCCTCCCTCCCTCTCTGTAACTATTTTTCTCCTTCTCTTCCCCCATGGACTACTGTTAAGTTTCCCAAGAACCAAATATGAATGAAAACGTATGATATCTGTCCTTCTGACTGACTTATTTTACTCAGCATAATACCTTCCAGTTCCATCCACGTTGCTGCAAATGGCATGATTTCATTCTTTCTCATTGCCAAGTAGAATTCCATTGTTTATATAAACCACATCTTCTTTATCCATTCATCAGTTGATGGACATTTAGGCTCTTTCCATAATTTGGCTATTGTTGAAAGCGCTGCTATAAACATTAGGATACACGTGCCCTATGAATCAGCACTCGCTATCCCTTGGGTAAATTCCTAGTAGTGCTATTGCTAGGTCATAGGGTAGTTCTATTTTTAACTTTTTGAGGAAGGCCTTTTTCTCATTGCCGTCCTCACTAGAGAATTGTAGCCCTTGCTCTTTTCCTTTGCATCTTGTGGACTGTCACTGTGGGTCCTTGGTGGTTCCCTCTCCACTGCTCCACTGCTCTGAGGCTCTGCTTTTCCATCCATCAGTGAGGATTAATTGAATGTCCTGGCTGCTGCCAAATACATCCCCTACCTTGTATGTTGCAACTATTAACTAAACCCTCTAAAAACAGCCCTCTAATTATGAAATAGAGATGTTTGAAGACACCCATCGACAACACAGTATGGAAAACTTTTCATAGAGTTATTAGTAGAAAGCCTACAAAGAATGTTTCTTTTGTTTCCCTATT